TTTTCAATACTTAGTGTTCTGATGTTTTGAATTCTCAGAAATTCGAGGATCCTCTGAGGAAGGAATTTTACGAACGACGGATCAGAGATCTCAAAACGCCGTACATGACTGTCGAAGAAGGTCTCGAAAAAGTGAGAACTGGAATGTTTGCTATCCACACTGACCTAACTATGGGCTATGATGTAGTAAAGAGTACTTACGCCGAAGACGAGAAGTGTGGATTCGAGGAAATCGATTATTTTTACACGTCGGATCCAACATTTACGATCAGACATCGATCGCCGTATGCAGAAATCTTCAGAGTTGGGTAATATTCTCAGAAGTAATCTGAAAAAATCAATAGAAAATCATGTGCTTTCATCGAAAACTTCTAAAAGACTAAACTAAGTTAAACTAAACTAATAACTTCTAAAGACTAAACTAGAGTGACTTTACGTATGTACACGGAGAGAAAAATTCGTTGAAAATTACGTGCCTGTTTCGTAACCTGCCAGTCAAAACAATATTTAGTAAAAATTACGGAACAGTTACGCACTTTTTCAGTGGACTTACCGAAAAAAGTCCAGAACGTTCACCAAAAAGTACGGAACGTTCAGTGAAAAAATGCGTAACTGTTCCGTAATTTTTACTGAATACTGTTTTGACTGGCACGTTATGGAACAGACACGTAATTTTTAAAGAATTTTTCTCTCCGTGTACTCACGCTCCAAATGAATTGTATTTCTTCTTAGCGGAATATGGCTGGAGGAAACAGGTCTCACACAACGTTTCGTTGATAGGATATATCACAAAAAGCCCACCTGCACCAACCAGAAAAAATTTATGAGTGTTGGAACCATCGACTGTTACGCTGCTTACCTGGTTATAGCTTACGGATTAGCTGCCGCACTAATGATATTCTTGTGTGAAGTGTTCTGGTTCAAAAAGTAAATTCCAATCACCCATTACTAAAAGTATTCTAAGTCCTAAAATTTCTCCAGATGTGATACGAGAACTGCTGATGCCACTGACGAACTAGAGGATCGGCGATTGCCATCTACTGCAAGTTCACCCACATCCAACCAAGACCACAGCTTCGAAACACTCGGAGATGAAATCCTAGTAAACACAGGCGAACACCCGTAGTGCGTAATTCAAAAAGTGATTATAACGTGAGAGTAAAGTATTGATAGTGTCATGAAAGTCATGGAAGTAAATTCGGTAATAAAATCGATTGTTGTGCTCAGTAATGACTAATACTATGCATCAGTACCGTCTGCCATTATAGAAAATATATATAATAAAATACTGCAGGGGACTCAGGCTGAAGGAAACGGGTTTAAGACAACGCTATATCAATATATTGTGCAATGGGAAGCCCCTATGTAGCAATCAGAAGAAATTCGTTGGCGTCGGCACCATTGAATGTTACACCGCTTATCTCACTATAGGCTATGGAATGATTTTGACATTCGGGATTCTGATGTTGGAAATTATTTGGTCGAAATACTCAAAGATACGAGTCGAAAAATAAAAGGGTGAACATACTTCCATTGCTGATGAAAAGCCCGAGGATCAAGCAGATTTCAACTATGATTATTCACGAGCATTATGATATCCAACGGATGTTAAAAGAAATATATATTCTATTATTATATTATATTATAGCAGTACGGAAGTACTGTTGCAAGACATATATATTCTCTTATCATATCATATTATATTATATTATATTTGTTCTTCTCCATGTCGATTTGACGTTCATCACAAGATGAACTGTCTGAGTTGACTATCAAGCTTCGCCACCGCGCAATGCCCGTAGAGAAGTCGTTCATGGAATTAACTGACATAATCATGAAGCATGCAAATGATTATTAGATAGAAAACAGAGTATCTCTCTCTTTGCCGACACAGGAAATCAATATT